TCAAAGCACCTTTTCTGATTGTTTTGAGGACTAGTGTTTAGGAATACATACGCTACCGGTATGTTATCTTCAATAAATGCTGGCTGGTTGGGTTTGTTTTTTTAATATTTTACTCTTTATTTTCTCTGATTTCCCACTCTGCTAAGGACTTTCTATAATGATACCAGAGCCTTGAATGTATTGGCCAGTCACTATGCAAATCTTTTGATGTGTGTTTTGTCCTTTAGAGCTCAACGTGACTAAAGAAGTCATTATTATTGTGATGACTCCCATTTTACAGGTGAGAAAACTGAAGCACAGGAGTTGAAATAACTTGACTGATGTCATGCAACTGGTAAATGGCCAGCAAGGTTTTTGAACCAAGAGCCTGTTTTCTTAGACACCAGGTCACTCTGGGTTGCCACAGTTTAGCCTCCTTAAAGCCCTATGAGGGAGGTATTTATGATTTCCTCTTACAGATAAGGAAACTGAGGCTCAGAGTGGCTCAGTGATTTGACAAAGCTGTCAGAGTCAGAGCTGAACCCTATGTATGTCCCTCAAAAGCATGTGTTCTCTGTTGAACAATCAGGACAGGGTGCTGGCTTTGCAGTAGCCTGGTTCCTGCTGGTTTCTGCTGGTTGGTGCAAGGCTGTCTAACTGGTGAGCTCAGCTGAGTTGATGATGGTGTTCTGCAGACTGGGAAGGGCTACACTGTCACTTGGGAGCCAGTGAATGGGACAAAAGTGAGAACGGTGCCATGGCAACAATGTTAAGGAGCCCACTGTGTACAGCTCTTGCTGCCAGATCATGGAATAGACATTTGTTCATGCTGTGTGTTGGAGCAGGAGCTTGAGACACCTGCCTTCTTCTAGCCAGCCGCCATATTGCCAGGTCCAATGACCGATATACCCCATCCTACTTCACTTCTCTCTGGCATCCAAATTGCTCATTACTCCTTCCTTCTTGAAATGTATTCCTCCCTTGGTTTCAGGACCCCCTAGCCCCTTCATTTCTTTCCTGTATCACTGGCCAGTTCTCTGCTCCTTTATGCAACATCCTTCTGCTTTTTCTGGTCTCTGAATGTTGGAGTCCTTGGACCTTCTCTCACACATGCAACATCTTGGCTTTTAATACCAACTAATGGTATGATTCTCACCAATGACTCCCAGGTGCATGGCATTAGTTTCAGCTCTTTCCTAGACTCAAAGCATGTCTAAGTCCCCTCAGCAACATCTCTGCATGGATGCTTGATAGTTCTCCCAATCTGAACATGGCCATGCCAGAATTCTTGGCTTTACCATGCAGTAGTTACCTCTTGCTCTGAAACAAATTATCACAAAACTTAATGACTTAAAACAATAATAAACATTCACATAGTTTCTTTGGGTCAGTTTTCTGTGACTAAACTAGCTGCATGATTCTGGCCTTGAGACTCTCAAGAGGTGGCAGTCAAGATGTCTGCTGGGGCTAGTCCTCTGAACGCTTGACTGGGGCCAGACGATCACTTCTAGGATGGTTCCCGTGGCTGTTGGAGGAAGGCCTCAGTTTCTGACTCTTGGCAGGAGGTTTTGCCCTTCAGCCTCTCTATAGGATTCTTGAGTGTCCTCATGACGTGATAGCAGGAGAGAGTCAGAGCAAGCAATCCAAGACGGAAGGCAATGGAGCCACGATATCTTTCTTGGTCCCAGAAGGCACTGGCTATCACTTCCACTGTATTCTTTTGATCTCACAGAGGAGCCTGATATGGTGTAGGAGGAGATGACACAAGGATCCTCAGACCCCATCTTGGATGGAGGCTGATTGCCACACTTCATGAGCCTACCCCTGCCCTGCTACTCCTCAGACCATTAAATGGCCTGTTGCTCAGGCCAAAATCCTGGGAGTCATCTTTGATTCTTTCCTTTCACATTTTAAGCCAATCCACCAAAAATCGTGCTAGCTCTATCTTCAGATCCTACCATAGGCCCCAGCATTTCTTATCCCAACTAGAGCACCCTCTCTAATCTCAACTCACATTGACCACAACAAGCTAACTGGCATCCCTGTTTCCACCTTTGCCCCAAAGGTCTCTTCCCCTCTAGCACCCAGAGATCAACATCAAGCTCATATCTCTCCTCTCTCCTCAGCAAACTGTAGTGGTTTCCACATTAATCAGAGTGACTACCAGTGCCCTTGCTATGACCTACATGATCATCCCTCTGGCTTCTTTTCTGGCCATCGTTCATACCAGAAGAGTCCCTGTGCTGTTTGTGAAGCCTGTATTTGCCTAGAATCCTGTGTGTGCCCTCTGCCCAGATGACCCCTCTCCTGTTCCCTCGTATCAGCCAGATTTCTACTCATTCATCTTAAATCCTTTCCTCTATTTCCCTTCATATCTCTATTACTACTGGACTGCATACTATACACTTACTGGTTTTCTTGGTTATTATCTGTCTCCTTCTCCAGAATATAAACCCCATGAGGGCACAAATACCATCCATTTTTATTATTGCTGGACCTTCCCGTGGAACCTGAAATGATGCCTAGCACATAATAGTAGCTCAAGGATTAATTTGTGGACTAAATGAATTAATGAATGTACTACATGGGAACAATGGGCTTATTTGGAAAGATAGAACTTTCTGCAGTGGTGGAAGTGTTGTGTATCCATGCTGTCAATGTGATGCCTATTAGATACTTAAAATGTGATTAATATGACTGAGGACCCAAATTTTTATTTTAGTTTTATTTTTTTATTTATTTCATAAAAGTAGCTACATGTGGCCAGTAGCTACCATATTAGAGTAGATCTAGATCCTTGGGGTGAATGGGGCATGGAGACATGTCCATGTCATTTCATGTACATCCCAGTAGAGCGGTAGAGACTTCCTAGGGTGCTGTGTTAATAAGGAGCCTGAAGTCCAGTCAAAAATCTTTTTGAGCACCTTCTGTGTACCCAGCACTGTGTTGTCATCAGGATATCACACAAGAGTGCAGTGATTGATTAGTGCCTTCGGTCCTGGGCAAAGAGGTGAATGTGTTATGATGTGGTATATTTACCATATGTGACCCTAGTTGTTCCAGAGCTAGTCAGAGGTCCTTCTTGATCCCTCCCAGGGAGTGATTGCTGGAATGTACACCTAGTGTCCTATAAACCCCTCACTGACTCCTCCCATCCCTGCTTTGCCTGCCCTCCCTATTCTCCACTGAGTTCCCTCAATCCAGTCTTCATAACTAGAGTAGAATGTTCTCTGCCGGAATCCTTTCAAGGAATGACCAAATTGGTTTTCACACACATGCTCCTGCAAATTTTGGCTAGTCTCAATTACATTTCCACTTATTTGATGAGAACATTGCGTGTGTTTACCCTATGGTCCGTACTGAAAAGCTGCTTAGCACAGGGAGTCATATTTTCCCTTTTACCTATACCTGCTAGGTGATGTGTATGGCCCATACTCCCCTCTAGTATATGAGTTCAAAGGCATGGGGAAAGCATTCTACCCCCGAGATTTCTCACTGAAGACTAACATCCTTTAATGACAGATGGGATCTTTTAATCCTAAAAAAGAAAATAGGGTCTAAACACCAAATAACACCTTGGATAAGGCACATTTTAACTAAAACTTTCCCTATGCTTCACCTGAGTGGAGAAGGTCCTTTTTTAGGAGCAGTGGGTACAGTTGGTGCCCCAACCTTTTCCCTTCATCCACCTATTGTTTCTGTCTGCCAACACTGCTTTTCTTTGTCTAAGGTGGTAGTTCTCTGCCAAGAGCAATTTTGCCCATATTTTGGGGACATTTGGTAACATCTCAAGCAATGTTTTTGGTCCTAACTGGCAGAAGTGGCTGCTACTGGCATCTAGTGGGTAGAGTCCAGGGATGATGCTGAACGTCCTGGACACACAGGGCTGTCACCCACATCAGAGAATTATCTGGACCCCAGAATTAATGGTACCAAGATTGAGAAATTCTGGTCTAAGAGCTGTCACTACCCATTGGAGCCTGCTCAGCCCAGGACATGGGAAGTCAGAAATGCCAGGAAATTAATATTCATGGAAGTAGGTATTAAACAATGTTTTGAAGGGAGGCAGTTCATAAATACCCCAGCTCTTGGCCCTTCAGATGGGACAGCTCCAAGGTACATGCTTAACATAGTCTCCCAGAGTGGACGCTTACCTGGTGGAATTAGGTTCCAGTTGCTTGACTGGTGACGTGCTGTGTGTATTAGGTTTCACCAGAGAGATAACGTAAGGGGATGTGTATGTGTACACAGAGTCTCTCCTCTGGGGATGACATAAATCCTTCCACTTAAAGCCTTCAACTGATGGGATGCAGCCTACCCACATTATGGAGGACAATCTGCTTTGCTCAAAATCTACTGATTTAAATGTTAAGCACATCTTTAAAAAGTAAATAAATAACTTCACTGTAATATCTAGACTAGTTTTTGACCAAATAACCAGATGCCATAGCCTAGCCAAGGTAACACATAAAAATTAGCCATCACACTCAATGACTCATCCTTCATCGGTTTTCCCCTTCTTTGTCTTCACTTCATAACTCCTAGAATCACCTTCCACTACTTGCATTTAAATTCAGGTCTCATAGTCTGCTTCTGGGGATTTTTCTTATTTTTTTTTTAAGATTTTTTTTTTTTTTTTTGGACAGAGTACTAGCAGAGGGAGCAGTAGGGGGAGAAGCCAGCTCCCTGCTGAGCGGGGAGCCCGATGCAGGACTCGGTCCTAGGACCTCGGGATCATGACCTGAGCCAAAGGCCAATGCTTAATCACTTAACCGACTGAGCTACCCAGGCATCCATGCTTCTGGATTTTTAGTAGGGAAAGGGGAAAAGAGCGGCTGGATGGGGTGGTTGTAGGGTAGGTAAAGGGTCTAGAAGCAAGAGCAAGCTCGGAACTCACAAGGCAAGCATCACCCACAATCATCTCATGTACGGTGCTCTTCAGTCAGGCCAGCTGTGGCTTGGCCCACTGCAGCATTCAGACCTAGCATGTGAATCCTCTCCATCTGTGTCTGTCTTCCCAGGTGGATTACGATCGAGCACAGATGGTCCTCAGCCCTCCGCTGTCAGGGTCTGACACCTACCCCAGGGGCCCCGCCAAACTACCTCAAAGTCAAAGCAAAGCAGGCTATTCCTCAAGCAGCCACCAGTACCCATCTGGGTACCACAAGGCCACCCTGTACCACCACCCCTCCCTGCAGACCAGTTCCCAGTACATCTCCACGGCTTCTTACCTGAGCTCCCTGAGTATCTCATCCAGCACCTATCCCCCACCCAGCTGGGGCTCCTCTTCAGACCAGCAGCCCTCCAGGGTGTCCCACGAACAGTTTCGGGCTGCTCTACAGCTGGTGGTCAGCCCAGGAGACCCCAGGGAATATTTGGACAACTTTATCAAGATTGGAGAAGGGTCCACCGGCATCGTGTGCATCGCAACCGAGAAACATACAGGGAAACAAGTCGCCGTGAAGAAGATGGACCTCCGGAAGCAACAGAGGCGAGAACTACTTTTTAATGAGGTAGATGGTGTGTTCGGATCACTCTTTCTCTCCTGTGTAACGTTTACTTCCCATTTCAAAAATATTACCTGTAGGGTTCAGGACCTCAGAAAGCATCGAAAATATAAATACAAAGATCACATTCCCATAATCCTTCCTTCTGGTCTTTGTCTCTGCGGGTTATGGTTCTCTAAAGAGCTTCATGTGGATCAGTCACCATGCTAAGCACTGACCTTGGCTTGATTCACACAACCTGTGAGACAGAAAGATGCTACCACCATGGCCATGATGAAATCTGGACTCAGATAGGTGAAGTGACTAGCCCAGGGTCACACAGCAGGTCAATGGCATAGCTGGGATTTGAATTCTAGCAGATTCCAAAGACTCAGGTTACACTATCCACAAGGGTGTATATACATGATTGTGATACCATGTTTGCCCTTTGTAGTCATTTTTTTTTTTTTAATCTCAGTAAACAGAGGTTAGTTTACCAGTGGATTACCACTATTTTAGAACTTTAAGATACATGCACTAATGAATTCTTCCTGTGGAAAATAGCGAAAATACAGAAAATGTCCCATAATCTCACAACCAAGAAATAGCCCACATTAATATTTCTGGATTTCCTTTCTGTAATTTTTTTCTCTTTAGAGAAAGTAATATATAATACCGACTTCCAGAAAGTTTTTAACAATGAGGACCCTCACTGACAGTCCTGTCTCATTCTCCCTAGCACTGGATACTTGTCAAATTATCTCTGTTAATCTGGTAGACATGAGTAAATCTTCCTGCTCTAATTAACACTATTATTACTAGTGAGGGTAAAATTACTTGTATATGTTTTTAGGCCATTTTTGTTTTATTAAACTATATGTCCTTTGCACACTTTCCAATTAGGGTGGTAACATTTGTCTTATTGATAAGTGAAAGGTCTTGATATATTAAGGAATTAACCCTTTTCTATGTGTTTGTTGAACATATTTTTCCAGTTTATTTGCCTTTTACATTTATTACTTGAAAGTTCTAAAATGCACATAGGAGGAAAAACATGAATACCTATGTCTAGGGACATAAAATATTTTGGAGTAATATTCCTCTATTGATTTTATGAGCATTTAGGGAAGAGAGATGAGCTTCCGTGGATGGAAAATCTAGGTCTTGAATAAGATGGCAAGTCAGGATTCCAATGTTAGATAATATGTCAGTCTCTAGCAAAGGATGGACCACACACATCTCCTAACAGACATTATAAAAATGCAATCAAGAATGACTTTGGATTCTTCTTCTATGGAGGCTCACATGAAGCCACATATGGCTTCAACCCCCAGGGGTGTTCATTTTCTCGCTATGTTCCACATCGCAAAGACAGCCCCAGGTGAGTGGGCTTCAGCTTGTCACTTCCACAACACTGATTTCTGGAACTTATTTCCCAATCACAGTGCCAGAACAGCCAGGACAACATAATGTAGATAATTTTGTAATTTATTAATTAATGTTAAATCTGAAAATGTCACCAGAAGCAGCCGTGGGGCAACAATTCTTGAAAGCTCTCTCTGGTAAGTTCAAGTTAACCTTGTATATACCTGAATCATATTTGCTTTTACCTTCAAGACCTATCCTTTGTATTCAGCCCAAACCTCTCTCACACTCAACCCAGACCTCCTCCCAAGATGTTAAGTTAGCCTCATGTGGCCCCACTCCTACTGTTCATTTCATTCACTTGTGAGACCTACTCTTCATATGCCATTTAGAGTTGGTGACTTTTGCCAGGTTAAACAATGGTGGAGTATGAACAGTGCATTCTAAAGGAGACCCTTAGGGATATCTGTTTATACCCTCCCCCTCAACGCAAACAGTCAGCAAAACTCCCTCTTGTAAGTACAAACCTTGCCAGAGTTCTCCCTGTTTTCACTCTCATTATCCCCAAACCTAGCATCTGGTTGCACTATCATTTTCTCTGAATTGACTAACTGGATTCCTTTCATTGTTGCTAGCTACCCTCAATCCTGTCTTTTTTTCTATTATAGACTCCTGAATAAATCCCCCATCAGTATTTCTTAATCAGTTATACTCACAGCACAGTTGTGGCCACAAGAGAACAGAAAGCCAAATCTCACCATCACAAGTCATAAAGCATCTTTCCATTTGCCCAGGTTGTGATAATGCGGGATTACCACCATGACAACGTGGTTGACATGTACAACAGCTACCTTGTCGGCGATGAGCTCTGGGTGGTCATGGAATTTCTAGAAGGTGGTGCCTTGACAGACATTGTCACTCATACCAGGTATGTCTCTTCATTCTCCAGACAAATAATTCCAAATGATTATTATTTCTTATCCAGGGTAAGCCCTCAACGACTATTTTTACAAACTCTTTATAAATTGGAAGCCCTTTGAAGTCAGGGAGTATGACGACCCTTTTTCTTTAAATTCCCTAAATGCCTATTGTAATATCATGTATGTTTAGTTCATTCATTCAGTTAACATTCTCCTTGTCCTCCAGAAGTTCATTAACACCTAATGATTTTAAGTCAGCAAACTGATGACAAAGGACTTTTGGTGCCAAACAATAGAATTTCCCATTCTTAGGTATTTTGCTAAAACTGAATTTTATTCTGAGTTGCTATGCTATTGCTCTGTAGTAATACCACCAAGGGTACCTGAGTGAGGAAGAGGCAGATGGAAGATGAGTCAGAGTTTTATGTTATAATGAGAAACCTACATAATTGAAATTCTTCGATTCTGTTTTTAAATAGTCTTGCAAGTAACAATGGTTAATTATCATTATTACCTGATGTGTCAGTTGTGGTCATTGAATTAAGTGTGTCTTGATCACCTTTTATGTGCCAGGCTCTTTCCTGAGTGCTGGGGACACAAAAGATACAAACAATTAAAGTCTCAAATATATTCCCTCAAGGATGTCACAGGTTAGAAATAAATATATTATAATATTTGTGCAGTAGTAGAAAGATATATTGAAGCAGCAAAGAATACCCGAGTATCTCTAACAGGGAAAATAAAGATTTTCAATATAAGGGGTTAACCAAGATGAATTTTGAGAGTTGCGTAGGAGTTTGCTAAGAAGACAAGTGGGAGGAAATGGGCATTGAAGGCAGACAAAATATGTGCTAAGACAGTGTTCTTCAGATTTTAATATGCATACAAATTACCTGTGGGTCTTAGTAAAATGCAGATCCTGATTCAATAGAAGGGGGCATGAGATTCTACTCTAACAAGCTCCCAGATGATGCCAATCCTCCATGTTCACGGACCACATTGGAGAAGCAAGGTTCTAAGGAACAGACATATTAAAAAACAAACAAACAAACAAACAAATGTTACATTTGGGAAACTTTATAAATTTGCTCTTGGTAGTAAATAACGCTCCAAAGGGATAAGAGATGATTGTCAAGAAGGAAAGGCACTGGATGTTAGCTGATATCACCGAAATGGTGCCTAAACTGTAAGTGAATCTAGGTGAAAAATAGGGGGGAAGCAAGGTAGCAAGAAGGTATTGAGGGACACTGTGAGAGATAGAATATGCTGTTTCTCCCTAAAATCAGGTGGTGTTTCAATCATGACCTTCTACAGCTCTCAGTCTCAGTAGACCACCTAAAAACAAAAGAACATAAGGGAAGACACTGAAGGTTTATCACCAACATTTCAGATGGCAGATTCCTGTTGGTAAACCCATGTGACCCAACCCTCCCCAAAGTATATAAGATCATCTTAACTTAAAGGAACAAATATACTGAAGAAACCTAAGCTTAAGACAAATGTGACTTGCATCTAAAACAATTAATAAAAATATATCCAGAGGAGAGGATTTTTTTTTTTCCTGCCCCAAAAAACTTCAGATAACTACACATGTCTCTCCAGAGCTCTCTCTTTTGTCACAGTTTTTTTCAGTTTTTATTGTGTGTCAGTGGGATCCACTTAAGAGCTAGCCTCTCTGGAATCCATTGTGTTCTCTAATCCTCTCCATCCAGTTTTGTCAATAATTTCCTGTTGAAGGCAGAAAGCTCCAGGGAGTGGAGAGAAGTTGTATGTCAAGGAACTCTTGAATATTTAGAACTTGAAATCCTTTGAATCTTAAGTTTAGAATTTAATTCTTGAGTTGTTTGGAGAGATTTTCCTATAGTAGATATTCAATAAAGGCTTTACTGAATGATTGATTGATTAATAAAATAACCCATTGCTACTCAAAGTGTGGTCTGGAGAATAGCAGTATCAGCATCACCTAGAAGCTTGTTAGCAATGCAGAATCTCAGGCTCTACCCGGACTGACCATACACAAGGTAACCAGGTACTCGGGCATTTCCAATGGATACCAATGTTTTAGCCCTACCTAGCATCTTGTTAAATTACATCCTACTGGTTTCCAGGAACAGAGGGTCCTAGAAGGCAAAGGAAAGTGCCGAACACTTCAAACATTAACTCCTGTAACCTCTAAGAAACAGAGCCAGGATTTGAGTTTGGATTTGATTCCAGAACTGAGGCATCTTTAATCCCAATTTAGGCTTCCTCTCTGCAGAAGTAGGAAAGCACAGTCTTTCTACAGTGGGTCTTATACATTTCAAAGCCACTGAATTCAGAATCAGTACTATTTGTTACATATGCCAATTAAAGGTGATTTTTCCAGTCACTGATAGGGGCTCAGATTCCATTAACTTTTGTTGTCGCTGACCTATAAACTATTTTAATGCCTGCTTCAAATAACTGGAATCCCATGAAATCCTAGAAAAATGAATTTTATTAAAAAAGGTGATTCCTGCTCCTGAATTATTTTTAAAGTATATTTGAGCTTATCCCTGCTGATGATGCTCTAAGTCTCCGAGGGCTCTGTGGTGGGCAGATGTGGGAGTTGTTAGCCATTGTTTTCACAATCCAGCACAATGACCAACCCATTCACACAAAACCAAGAGCACAGAAGTCTCTCAGACAAGAACATTTTCTTCTTGCCTGCCTTAGTAGGAGAATGAGGCATTGCTGGAAGAAGCGTCTTCAGAGAGAAAGGGTACCCATTCTCTTTACACCTTTGACCCTCTCCTAATTGGCCACCTCTTTGGATTTTACTTTGGACTCTTAATTTTACTCAGACATGGTTTGCTGGCTTCAATAAGACTGACACATATTCAGGGCCATCCATTTCCTTGTCCTGCTGAATTATGAGTTCCCCGGGGTGATTTTCCAAGGCTGTCCTTGAATTTGGACTCTCGTCAGTTACACCCTCTGTCTCTCCTGACAGTCTCCTCTGTTGGCATGACTGTTTAAGGAGCTCTTTCACATTTGCTATCTGGCTTGAACCTCACACTGTTTCCGTGAGAGGGAAGTTTTATACCCAGATGAGTTAGGCCTCTGGGGGTTGTTTTGATGGTACTGATGTCCAAGTAATTCTTCCCACATAGGTTCTTCATGGCTGAAAATCCATTCATATGAGTTGCAATGGCAGTGTGATACAGTGGGGACATTGGAAAAGCATGGGTCTGAACTCAAGAAGAGGTGGGGTTGCATTCATAATCTGGTCACTTTCTTAGCTGGGTTAACTTGGGCAGGTCACTTGACCTCAGTCTCTTCTGAAGCCAGAACCCTTCTTTAGAAGGGTGCAGCCATGAAATGTGGGAGCACATATCCAACACTGTGCTTGCCTTTCTCATTCATAAGGTCAATTTCTTCAAGAATCATCCAGTCATGCTTAGTTATTAGTAACTAAGTCCAGTTTCCTTCTTAATGGACCTAGGGCAACAGGAATCTTTAGCTCCTGGAGGCAGGGGATCTTAGAGATCCAAAGACCATGTTGTCCAAGTCCAACTTTTAACTGTAGGTGTCCTCATTTCCAAGATGAGGTAAAAATAGACCTGAGGAAGTTAAAAAGGCTTGCTCAAGGTCACCTATCAGGCATACTTGGAACCTTGGCTCTATGCAGTACAGTCTCTCTGTAGAACCCTGGAGGTTTATCAATACCTAAGAAATTACCCATGAGAGTCTAAGGAAGTACATTTGTATTAATGACCCAAAAGCCAGCAAATAAACCATTTCCTTTGGCTTATATTTGGCCTCTGTCATCCTCATTGCCAAACCTTAGGTTCTAGGATTCAGATCCCAAGACTTCTTTGTGCTTGCCTGTAGATTTTCCAGACATGGGCTGGAGAGCATAGACTGGTTCACTAGACCCCAAGGGAGCTGCCTCTCTTGATCATTTCAAAGATGTTCTCAAACCTGTCTTTGCTCCTTAAATGTTATTTCCTTTCCAGAATGAATGAAGAACAGATAGCTACCGTCTGTCTATCGGTTCTAAGAGCTCTCTCCTACCTTCACAATCAAGGAGTGATTCACAGGGACATAAAGAGTGACTCCATCCTCCTGACAAGTGATGGCCGGGTAAGATTTCCTATTTGGCCTCTCTATAGTTTAGTTTGCCACTTTGTCTGTCATGGGCATTATCCTCCTAAGAACCCTTTCTCATAATTCAAAGTCTCCCTGGTCACAGTCACCCACTGTCCTTCCCAGAAAGCTTACCAAAAAGGAAATTACCATCCTCTGTGTCATCCTACTAGTCAGGATTATCTGTGATCTGAATTTGATGGATGACTTCTCACTTTAACAATGAGTGTAGGAAGGGATAGAAACTATGGAAATTTCTTTCCGTTTTCTTCTATGTTCTTATTTTTGTTGGAGAAAAAGAGATGACTTTTCTGGGGTTTTGTCCACCCTGTCTGTGGAGTTGTGCATGTCTGCAGTATCTCTCAGAGTTCCTGCAGGAAAGAAGAAGGCAAACTCCAGTGGACAGCTTGAGGAGAGTTTAATAAAGGTGTGGGCACATGTAGACAAGTCAGAAGGAGGAGTACATGACAATTCACGTGGCATTCTAGAATAGTGTGCCACTCTTACTGCCTCATGCCTGAGGAGGGGAGGCCAGGAACTGGCTACTGGAATCTGAAAACAGAGATTATTATATGAAGAGGGATGCCTGGCAGGAACTCTGATCTTCAGTGGAAGACAGGCCACAGTGGAGCTGCATGATGGGAGCTGGGAGGATCAATATCTGAACCTCCCTCCGTTCTTTCCTTCCAGTCTCCTATTTGTACTTCCCATTGGTCGAACCCAAGCAGAAGCCATCAGTGCGGTCAACACAGGTTGGCATCCCAGGGCTCAGAGGGGAGGAGAATAGATCTGGAAAGGCAAATGAAAGATATCCATCACCCCAATTTATCCCAAGGCCCAGACGGCTGCATTTCCCATCCCCACAGCCAGCTCAAGGGAGTCTGCAGAAACTCATCAGCCACACCAGGTTACAAAGAATATAGACTACAGTAGCCAAGGAAAGAATGAGTTGGCATTTCAAAGCAGTCTTAGTTAGACGGTAGAGTTTTGAAGCATAGATTTTTATCATCTAGGCCCTTTTAATCTCCTAGAAACTCCCACCACAGGTAATGGCACTGGCATGCAGGGAGCCAGTTGTCCCATTAGTACACCTGTCTTTTACAACCCAGCAATCTCAGCCATCTGGGAAATGTTCACATCACAGCAGAATTGCCCAGGGACAATCAGAGGGCAGCTAAAAGAAATTCTTCCCAACACTTCAGCTTTTTTTCTGTTTTAAAGAGATTGTCAATTCTACTGTGGAAAATTCAGGAAATTCAGAAAAGTATAAAGGACAAAATAAAGATCACCCTTAATGCATTTCCCATTCTCCCCATATTTCCCTGTACTTGTACTTGCAAACTTGGGATTATTTTTAATGGGTAGTTTAAGTCCTGCTTTTTGCATTACTCAGGCTGATTTTTTTTTTTTTTTTTTTTTTTTAGAAAGAGGGTATGGGAGGGTGCATTAGTCAGTTCTTGCTACATAACAAACCACTCTACACTCAATGGCTTAAAAGGACAATCATGTATTTGCTCACAGTTCTGTGAGTCAGCGTTTGTGCTGACCTCTGCTGGAACAGCTTGTCTCTACTCCATGACCATCAGCCAAGCTCACTTTTGCATTTGTGGTCAGCCTGCTGTTGATGGTCTCATTCATTTGCCCAGAGCTTTGTCATGGGTCCCCCATCTCCCAGCAGATTCTCCCAGGCTTATTCCCATGGTGCCTATGGCAAGATTACTCAGATCAGCAAGAGAGGCAAGCTCCATGGCACGCTTTTGAACCCTATCCTTATATCTTGTTTGCTAATGTCCCTTTTGGCCAAAGTGAGTCACACAGCCAAGCCTAGATGCAAGGGATGGGAAAATGGATTCCACCTCTTGATGAGAGAAGATGCAGAGTCACATTGCAAAGGGATGTAGGTACAGGGAGGAGAAGGATATGTGGCCATGTTGCACAATTTCCTAAAGAGTGGGGGAGCTGTGAGAAAAGGTCTGGGATCTTCCTCTGGCCTGAGTCAAGAGAGTACTTAAGCAAGGTTCCATGACTTTAGAACATAATTCACAAAGCACTGAATGGTCCACAAATGGGTCCTGGGCACTGATGCTTACAGGAAAAAAAGAAAAAGAAAAAAGCAGAGTGGTTTCAAGGCAGGCTTTTCCCCTTCCTAGAGATTGATGACAAAAGTTTTCTTGCTACAAGCACATGTCATATGGCAATATCAGACATGAGACTAAGATAATTCATTGTTTAATCAGCTCAAAGATCTCCCCTTCCCACAGTACACAGGTTATTAAAATCATTCAGTGTCATTCTCAAGGGCAGAACCTATGCTCCACACACTTCCTGAATTTCCATGTACTCAGCAAAGAGCTCCCAAGGACTGGCACATGGTGAGTGCTTTTAGCCTTACTGGTTTGTTCACTCACTCCTTCCATAAGTATTCCCTGAATGTCTACTGCTTTCCAGGGACAGTTGTAGGTCCTAAGGATAAACACAGCAAAACCACTACTTTCATTAAGCTTATTTGGGGCATGGAGGTGGGATAAATACACAAAATCACTCTAGACAGGTGGTGATAAGCACTAAGTTTTCCATAATTAATTTAAGCAGAGTAAGAATATGGTAGAAAGTGATACAGGATGGGATCAGAGAAGGCCCCTCTGAGGTGGTGATGCTACAGCAGAGACTGAGTGGGTCCTATGGCTGTCAGGGTTGAGAATGTTCCAGAAGAGGGAGCAAGCAGCATGTTGAGTAGATCCTATGGGTCTCAGGTATGTGGCCCAGAGTATGCTCTTTCACATTTCAGAACAACATACCGTGTTGATTCCATTGGGCTTCTTCCAGTTTCTATAGAGAAAGGAAACTTTTTTTTTTTTTTTTGAGAATGGGAGTGAAGACATAGTGTGACCACTTCAAGATTTGTATTAATTTATTTTGTACCAATTTATTAGAGTCTGAAGTTTTATATTGGAGAAAGCACCCTCATTTTTTTATTATTGTAACAAATCACTCCAACACTTGGGGTCTTAAATCAAAAGTCATTTAGGATTTTTACATGGCTCTGAAGATTGGCTGGGCTCAGCTAGCCAGGACCACTCTGACTTGTAGTTAGATGATGCATCTGGAAGTCTTCCTCACTTACACGTGCTGGCTGGGGGCTGGGCACTCAGCTGAGCTATCAACCAGAACACCCATAATGTGACCTCTCCTTATGGCCTTCCTCTCAGCATGGACGCTGGATTCCAAGAGCAAGGGTCCTAAGAAAACAAGGTTTATGACATAATCTTGAAGTCCCATAATGCCACATCCACTGTACTTTCAGTTCTTCCAGTTCAGGAGGAAGGAATGTAAAATCCTCCTCGGTGGGAAGAGGATTGACTCCTGTCATCAAAGGAGCTCATGGGCTGGGGCATAATATTGCTGGCTTTTTCTGGAAAATGTTATGTCACACAAGCTACAATGAGTTTTCTTGTTGTTGGGAGATGTGCAGCCTCGTTAACCCTTAGAGAAATACAAATTAAAACTAGCAGATATCACTTCACATCTATCCGAATGGCTAAAGTGAAAAGTAGCAATAATACCACTTATCCACACACTGCTGGTGGGAGTGCGGAACAGTACAGCTCCAAAACATGAGTCCTTTCAGAACTAAAAATTGCATGTGACCAGTAATTGCCTTCTTAGGCATATATTCCAGAAACATGGAAACTTATTTTCACACATAAACTTGCACATATATGTTTATAGCAGTTTCATTTATTATAGCTTGGACCTAGAAACTACCTGAGTGTCCTTCCAAGGGTTAGTGGTTACACAAACTGTGATGTGTTTATACCATGGAACACCAGGCAAAAAAAAAAAGAAGAAGAAGAAGAAGAAACCAGTGATACACGTAAGCACTTAGATGAAGGAATTGTGCTGAGTGGGAAAAAGCCAATCTCAAAAAGATACATGTCACATACTTCCATTTATATAACATTTGTGAAATAACATAATTATAGAAAGGCAGGGAAGATTAGTGGTTACAGGGGTGAAAGACTGCAGGGTGACTGTAAAGGGGTAGCCCGAGGAGTCTTATGGTGATGGGACAATTGGGTACCATTTTAAAAATTAATTTATTTATTTTAGAGAGCATGTGAAAGCAAGGGGAGAGACAGAAGAAGAGAGGGAGAATCTCAAGTGGACTCCCCACTGAGTGCAAAGCCAGATTACACAGCTCAGTCTCACAACCCTGAGATCATGACCTGAGCTGAAATCGAGAGTTGGATGCTTAACCAACTGAGACACCCATATGCCCCAAGGGGCAATTGGGTACCTTTATGGTGTTGTTGGTTACTCAAGGCTACAATTGCAATTGCAAAGTATATACACACACTTAAACACTACATATATAAATGAGTTCATGTACAAATGATTAAACCTGAACAATGTCTATGGGATGTACCAACATCAGTTTCTTGGTGTTGATATTGTACTATAGTTTTACAAGATGCCAACATTAGGAAGGACTGGGTACACATTGCTTTGCAACTTCCTATGAATCTACAGTTATTTTAAAATAAAAAAAAAAACTAAAAGAGACAGTGAATTGCTTAAGTTTTTTTCAAAAGATAAATTTCTGGGGTGCCTGGGTAGCTTAGGTGGTTAAGCATCTGACTCTCGATCTCAGGGTCATGAGTTAGTTTGAGCCCAACACTGGGCTCCATGCTGGGGGTGGACCCTACTTTAAAAAGAAAAAAAAAAAAAGGATACATCCTTTGTGGCCTCTAAAAAGGACTAGAAGGGAAATTGTGATCAGAGTAAATTGTTCACTGTTTGTCTATGATATAAATGATAGCTAATGAGTCACTAATTTGTGTTAAGCGGGGGGATATGGTATTTGGAGTTTGAAAGGGAAAATAAATAGCATATCACAGGGGGTTGCAAGAATTACATGAAATAATTTGTGTAAAACCATCAGAAGTAAACCGGTTCCAACACAGAAGCTCAAAAAAGTTGATTCCCCCACCCTGGAA